TATACATATATATATATATATATATATATATAACAGAAATACAAAATATCACAATGTCAATTTTTTGCAATATCATGCAGCCTTAATTATAAGGAACATTTAGCTAGTTTAAAGGTAGGTTAGGTGATTTAGGAGAGGCTAGCCATAGCAAGGTAGCTTTGAAAGTAAGATCCCACCCTCACTGCAAATCACTCTCCAAAGCCACGCCTCCTTCAAAACACACGAACGCACAGGCACAGGCAAACCAGAGGCTAAGCAGCGACATGATGAGACGATGTTTGTTGGAGTGTTGAATGCAATGCTGTCAGATTGCTCATGTTTCATTTACCGGTGAGAAAACATTACAGTACAAAGCGCATAATATTACAATAACGTCTTCCATTCTCGCTCGATCTGCAATAGCATAATGGAACGCGCTGATGACGTATCATGTCTGCCCAAACAGGGTGCACAGAGTTATGCAAATACATACATTGACTGGCAGGTAGGACAGCCTATTGTAGTCCTCAGACCAAGGGATATGACTGGACGAACATTTTATGGTCCTACGCCTTCCACAGACGATATAAATACATATAAATACATTTAGACCACTTAACTTAGTGATTAAAGCCACGCCTCCTTCAAAACACACGAACGCACAGGCACAGGCAAACCAGAGGCTAAGCAGCGACATGATGAGACGATGTTTGTTGGAGTGTTGAATGCAATGCTGTCAGATTGCTCATGTTTCATTTACTGGTGAGAAAACATTACAGTACAAAGCGCATGATATTACAATAACGTCTTCCATTCTCGCTCGATCTGCAATAGCATAATGGAACGCGCTGATGACGTATCATGTCTGCCCAACCAGGGTGCACAGAGTTATGCAAATACATACATTGACAGGCAGGTAGGACAGCCTATTGTAGTCCTCAGACCAAGGGATATGACTGGACGAACATTTTATGGTCCTACGCCTTCCACAGACGATATAAATACATATAAATACATTTAGACCACTTAACTTAGTGATTGCTATCGGTATGTGAAGAGACTTTCAACCAGCATAACAACAAATGTTTTTGAACCAAATCACCTACCCTGCTTTTATTTTATTATGGATCTGATTCCACGTAATCTTTTTCCTAACTATTCTATAAATTGTTATTTTAATATTTCAAAGGAAGTAAGTTAGCCAATCATAACAGATGATTTGAGGGAGAAAAAAAATAAACTAAACTGATAATTCAGATGGTTTTGATACCTGAGGAGCTGTCACTGCTGGAGGAGGAGTCCGAGTCGCTGGATGAATCTGAGTCGCTGTCTGTACTGTCAGATGAGGAATCTGAAGATGAGTCGTCGTCTGAAGAGGAAGAGGAAGAGGAGGAAGAATCAGATGACTCAACGTCCTGATTCTGGGTCATGATCATCTTAGGAGCATTCTTCAGGTGTTCTCTCAACTCATCCCTGAAAGGAAAAACAGTTCAGTGAGCATTATTTCTCAATAACTGGAGCAGACCCAAAAAGAGAAACTTCACAGGGACGTACGTAAGTCCTCCAAGGCCAATTGATGTGAAGAAATTAATGGCAAATCTAGTGTTCCTCGGGTTGTCACGTGGGAAAAGACCCTCGAAGAAAGACTGAAGAGTCCTGAGGAATAAACAAACGATATGGTCCATTATACGATTCCATTATTAATTATCGATTCATTTTATTCAACGAAAAAGCACAGTACACAAAGAAAAGCACTTACATGTCCTTCAGTCTCTCGTTCAGTTTTGGCAAACCCATATAAGCACAAAGTTCCTGGAACAAAATCTTCACAAAGATTCGACTGGAGGACGTCGTTGTGTCTTCACTCATTTTAACGCATTCAAGGACCTGAGGAAAAAATATATATCAGGAAATCAATAATGTGTCTGGCTATATTGATGTGTTGTTGTCTAAAACGTAATTACAGCTTACAGGACACATTCGTTATTAGCCATGTCTAAATTTTGATGTGGTGAATGTAAAGAAAGAAGTGATAAAAGTAACTCACACTCCATGGAATGGAGTCTGTGTAGAGGAGATGAGAAAACATTCGAGCAACATTACGCAATTTGTTGGTTTCAAGCCGGTGGATGGTTTCATACTGTTCCTGGAAGATGGCCTCAAAACTCTCCATGTAATCTTTCTTCAGCAGGCAAAACCTCTACATAAAAGATCAAAATATCAGAAGAAGAAACAAAAACAACTCTTGCAATCTTGCACTAATATTGCAGATGAGATGTGTCACTTTAAATATTCATAAATCTAGAGAGAGAATAATGATGCCTTATTGTCATGTTGGAATCTATAAATAAAAAAAAATAAATAGAAACTTAAATCAAATAATTTTCTAAACAATGATTTAAAAATTACATTAAAAAATAAACTTAAAAAAATCATTTAATTAATCATTAATATAACATTAAAACAAAATATAAAAATTATAATTATGGTTATCTCAATATGACTTGAAAGCAGCATAACAGTCAAAGAGCGAAAGACAGGCTCACCCCAGCAAGGAGACCAAAGAACTTCTCGTATGTTCTTTGCTGGGCACAACAGTCTAGGATCATGTTGCACAGCTCTTTCTGTGAAGAGAAACAGATGCACATGAGAAAAAAAAAAAATACTGAGATGCAGACTGAGCATCAGGGCACGGCACTTTAAACAAACATAAAGGGAAGGTGTGGGGCTGATCATCCATTCCCAGCACTTCTTCACTTATGCCTATTGATCTTATAACCTCATATCTTCAAGGAGCCTAGGAGTCTGTCTGAGACAGACAGAGCGACAGACGGGCTCAAGATCAATTTAACAAATTAAACCTGAATGATCTAAAAACAGTTCTGGTGAAATCTCAAGGCTCTTTCCTCAAGTGCACTGGATATCAGTCTAGGCACATGAAGCACTAAGCACTTGAGATATGGATTAATCATTAAGAGGTTTTTGTAAAATAATGAAAAGATCACACAAAGCCAACAGCTTCAGAAGACTTGGAAAAACAGTGCTTGAGTCATACAGACTACTTTTATGGAGCTTCAATATATTCAAAAGAGTTGCCAGGACATTATACAAATTTTTACCTTTCCATGCATATGGGTATATGGATAAACATGCAGGCGAATTAAGAAACCTCGTTCTAACAAGTACAAGGGCAGCGAACCAAAAACAACAACAAAAAAGGGCTGAACCCAAACTTTTGAACACGTGAGTATGGATATCTATGTCTATGTATATCTATCTATCTATCTATCCATCTACACACAAACACACACTTTAAAAAAAAATTAATTAATACTTTTATTCAGCAAGAATGCATTAAATTGTTCAAAAGTGACAGTAAAGACATTTATAATGTTGATTTTTTTCTCTCTTTTTTTTGCAAACTTTCAATTCATAAAATAATACAGAAAAAAATGCATCATGGTTACCACAGTAATATTAAGCAAATGTTGTCGATATTGAAAATAAAATGATTTTCTTGAATGATTTCTGAAGGATAATGTGACACTGAAGACTGGGGAAAAATTCAACTTTGCAATCATAATATATTAAAATAGAAAACAGTTGTTTTAAATAGTAATATTTCACACAATTAAAAGTGTCTATTGTATTTTTCTTAGTAAGCATTAGAAACTGACCGAAACAAAATACGGGGGGAAAAAAAAAAACTATGGAAGTCAGTGGGGACCAGAAACTGTTTGGTTGCCCACATTCTTCGCAATATCTTCTTTTGTGTTCAGCAGAAGAAATAAATTCATACAGGTTTGGAACAACTTGAAGGTGAGTAAATCATGACAATTTTTGGGTGAACTATCCCTTTAAGAAATGTTCTAAGCATCTAGGGCAGAAACGTCAAAAAGTCTGCTGTACCTGGAGGCAAGCAAAGAAACCTATGGTGGAGAGGTGATGTCAGGAAATCCTCTTCAGTTCAAAAGTTTGAAATCCCTTAGCAAACCTTCCCTCATGACTGGCCTTGCTGTGTTCCTACCTACCAGGGCTCAACAATAAGGACTACCCGATGGCCCGGGGTCAGTGTCAAAGATGCTCGGGACAGTTGACGAAATTGTCAATGGCCTGATCGGGCCACTGCTGCGTCATCACGAAAGTTTTCATTTGCATGTGTTTTTAAGCCATGCTAATTTAAAAATTCAACCGATTCCAAAGCATTCAAGCAAGACGCAAAAGATAATTACATTCAGTACTCACACGCTGTGCTATGTGTACAGTCCGCATATATTTAGAGATGCATCTTTGACAACGTTCAAGCCCCGAATTAAATTACTTTCCGTGCCTTCTTACTGACTGCTGTTCCATAACCGCCACCTGCTCTCAGAGAGTGAATATGCGTTCTCATGCAGCCCTGCTGCTTTTCCTAACAAAGCAACAATTCATTTGTATCTTTGTTCTATATATTGTGCTATTGCTTGTAATTTGTTCATTTGTTCTTATTTACTGACTGTTCACTTAACTTTAATAATGAGCCATGCTAATTTAAAAATTCAACCGATTTCAAAGCATTCAAGCAAGACGCAAAAGATAATTACATTCAGTACTCACACGCTGTGCTATGTGTGTACAGTCCGCATATATTTAGAGATGCATCTTTGACAACGTTCAAGCCCCGAATTAAATTACTTTCCGTGCCTTCTTACTGACTGCTGTTCCATAACCGCCACCTGCTCTCAGAGAGTGAATATGCGTTCTCATGCAGCCCTGCTGCTTTTCCTAATAAAGCAACAATTCATTTGTATCTTTGTTCTATATATTGTGCTATTGCTTGTAATTTGTTCATTTGTTCTTATTTACTGACTGTTCACTTAACTTTAATAATGTTTCAACTTTATATTTGTTAGGCTAGTAGTTTTTGCTCTGGTATCGAAATTAGAATTGTAAAATTTAATTGATATCTTAAATGTTGGTGTCATATAAGCTTATTATAAGAATACAAGATAACAGGGGTCAAAAACAATGATAACAGCAACTATTTTATTTATTTTTTGTGTGGAAGGGCCAGTGAAAATATTGGCAGGGCAAGTAAAAATTTGAACCCCTGGCCCAATATAAAAATCTTTAGCGTTAAGCAAAGCCTACAGATGCTCATTCCTCCCCTCACAGGAAACAGGAAGGATTATATGCTCCAAACAGCCATTTAACTCTTTCCACTTCACACCTGTGGCTCAGCTGAGCTCCAGAGATCTGTGCTGCCCTTCACTGTATGTGTAATCTCAGGATACAGGAGCTGCCACACTTCTCTACTTATACCTCATAACACTCCATAAGCCTATTGATTTCAGGCCAACATATATTCATCAGGGAGCTCAGGATTATGAGGAAAGGCATGCTTGTGATCAACTTACAAATGAAACCCCGACAGGCTGCAGTCTGGCACCAAATTAGAGTCGAAGCTGAAAACTTAAGGAGGTCTAAAACACTTTCAATAGAAGGATATCAACAACGTCGCGACCAAGCAGATACAGTATTGAGCACTTGAGGTATGGCTGAGTATTAAGTCCTGATGAGATTGTTTCTGACTCTTCTAACAGGTGTCTGCAGGCAGCGAGCCACATGTGCCAGGTGTGACGGTAAGGTGTTCTGATCACAGGACAGTTTGAGACGAACTGCAGAGCAGAGAGGTGGTTCAGCCCTACGGCACAAGTCTCTCATATTAACACCCTATATATATTTCAGGGAGCTGAAATCGCCTACAATCTGTGCTTGATTACTGATAAGAAAACCCTTTTGAGTGATATCATTAAAGGAAAGGAGGGGATGATTTTTGGCGAATTATTTAAATTTCAGAAAACTTTAATTGTTTATTAGTACTTTTATGTTGAATTTGTGTCATTTTTTGGACCCTGACAGCTCCCCCCCATTTATTTTTGTTGTTTGGCACAGATCACTCTGAATATTCTGCATATCTAAAAATTATATATACCAGGTTAGGTATAAGGTTCAAAAGCCTAGGGTTGGTAAGATTTTTTTTAAAAGTTTCTGAAAAAGTCCCATGCTACATAAAAACAGTAATATTGTGAAATATTATTACTATTTAAAATAACTTTTCTGTTTAAATTAGGGCTGTCAGTTTAACGCGTTAACTTAATTAGTTACAAAAAAATAACGCGATTAAAATATTTTAACGCAGTTAACGCACTGGCCCCGCCCCCAGACCTGTACATCATCTTACATTTCATACAGTTGACTGTTGACAAAAATGATGCATCAGTTTGTTAACTTAATTAATTAGTTATGAAAAAATAACGCGATTAAAACATTTTAATGCAGTTAACACACTGGCCCCGCCCCCAGACCTGTAAGTCATCTTACATTTCATACAGTTGACTGTTGACAAATATGATGCAGGGCAACAACTCCATAAATGCAGTTATGCCCTAAAATTCAAGATATTGTTCAAGATAAATTCCCCTTTATGTGTTTTTCTCATATTTATATCATACAATATCGATATCACACGAGCAGGGAGAGCAGTATAGGCTATTACACAAGTGCTGTTTTTGACCCGAATATCACAAGTTTAAATGCGATTTTATACAACAGTTCAGTAAGAAGTTGATATTGTGTTATATTTTAAACACAATATTATGTGTTTTTGCTCAATTTCGCAAAGAATATATTACCTTTAAAGCCACAGCAGAATTGTTGCGCGTCTCCGAGCAACACAGCGGTGATTCGTTTCTGAATGAATCTGCGTTTTGAACGAATCGTGTGAACCAATGATTCAAAGACCCTTTCATAAAGAGAGCCGTTTACTTCATTCCTGAATGAATCAGACGTTTGAACGAATCGAGTGAAGACATTTACCGCCACCTGCTGGCAGATTTAGTTTAATATTTAGAGTATCATTTAATTAATAATAATAATAATAACAACATTAAAGGGATAGTTCACCCAAAAAATTTTAATTCTGTCATGATTTACTCACTTTCATGTGTTTCAAACCTTTCTTTTGTGGAACATAAAGGAAGGTATTCTGAAGACTGTTGGTACAAAGCTGTTTTGGTTACCAATGACTTTCATTGTATGAACAAACAATACTGAGATGTTTCTCAAATTATCTTTTATGTTCCATAGTTTATGTTAGGCCGTTGTAGCCTTAATGTTTATGTGTAATACATTATTTTGTTGAATCAAATAAAATATTTCTAAAGCTACAATTTGTAATGTCTACTTGATACTTTCTCATTTAACAAAAATATCTTTAAATAACCTTTTGTGGGTATTTTCACAGTCAAATTTATTTTGCGATTAATTAGATTAATCAAAACATCATGTAATTAATTAGATTAAAAATTTTAATCGACTGACAGCCCTAGTTTAAGTATGTTTTAAAATTAAATGTATTTCTGTGATGGCAAAGCTAAATTTCCAGCAGCCATTACTCCAGTCTTCAGTGTCACATGATCCTTTAGAAATCATCTTTGGTGCTCAAGAAACATTTTTTACAATTGTGCTGCATAATATTTAATTGTGATGCAAAAGTCCTTACTCCGTTTGGCAATGCAAGCCTTTACTGTCACTTTTGATCAATTCAATGCATCCTTGCTGAATAAAAGTACTAATTTCGTAA